CCCCTCCCACATTGTCCAACTGTTCTTTCTCCCCAAACACACTTGCTTATCCTGATAAGGGATATGCAGATGCAGTTTGTAACTTTTAGCAAAACTGAATTTCTTGTCTTTCAAAGATGAGTAAATACAAATAGAGATTCTAATATCATCTTCCAAAACCCTAGTGAATTGTCTTGCTTTTTGGGGAAGTCATCCTGTTTGGTGACCATTGCTCTAAGGGTAGGTAAAAGGACAGGTTTATTGGTCAAGAGAGATTCTGGTTGAGCCACAGAGCTTTTTTACTTCCTCGTCCTGCCTCTCCCTTGTCTGTGTTGACTGAGTGTGGTATTGCTGGTGCTGGCCTCCCTATGATCCTTTTGTCTTTCTTTTTGTCACAATGTTTTAATACAGCCCCCCTTGCCTTCTGCCCATGTGCTTTGGTTGGAGCTGCTATCTTGATTGTTGGGTTTATTGTCTGTGTTTGAATAGGAGGAATAACTTTACTTTAAGTTATTCCTGTAGAAACAGAGCACCTTTAAAAACCTTGTCACCTGGAAAATAATGGAACCCTTTCTTTTGGGTCTTTTCCTTTCAGACTTTTCCCTGACTGACCAGGACCTACCCTCTGAGTACATGAAAGGATTCCCAAGACTAGATAAAAAGCTAGAAACACTTTTTAAGTCTCCCACTTTTTCCTTTCCATCATCTCGCTCTTCTCTACCAACTGCAGCTCCTTTTCATTTTAACATTTGTAGCTTGTTATGACARCAGACCACATCAATACCAATGAATGAGGCATCTGCACAAAAATCCATTTGGTTTAATTGTTTTGATTATTATATGTCCCGTGAATGTCTTACATATACTTTTAGTCTTAAAATGATTCATTTAAAAAATATACTTTCAAAGCAAACAGTTGTTTCAATGTTGAGTCAGATCCCAGAGTTTACTACTATAAATGACAAACATTTGGTTTTATCACTGAGAAATAATCTCTTTAGAATTGAAATGCAAAAAGTGTTTGTTATTTCCTCCCAATCTTAGAGATAAGGAATACTGTATTATTCTGAAGATCTGGGTTGGGATACTGTGGATCTTGACCATGTAGAATAGATATATTGCTATAAGTCTAAAATATTTGCTGTTCCTCCAATCTAGGGATAAGATAAATCCTATTCCCAGTAGGTATACTTAATACAAGAACCAGTGGACAGTGAAGATTACTTATCAATTGGCCATCTCCTCTAGGCCATCCTCTATCCTTCTATGCATTATCTCCATAAAACACAACTCTGCTTGTGCTACCTACCTGCTTAATAGTTTTTGATGGTTATCTATTGCCCAAAGAATAAATTCCTCAGCTTGCATATAGGACCCTTTCCAACCTGGCACTATGTTCCTTCATTTCTCCCCTCTCTATCTCTGTCTCTGTCTCTCTTTCTCTCATCTCTCTCTCTCTTCCTCTCCCCCCCACACCTCTTTTGCCCTCCAGACCGAAATGCTAGTTACATCAGAATCCAGTATGCTGAGTAAGAACCAGATTTATACAATTGAATATGAGATCAGTCTATATAAATGTTAACAGGAAGTGGATGGTTCAGTGGGAGTGGAAGATTTCAGTGAGGCACCAAGATATTCTAGAAAGTGAATATCAACCTTTATTGGCATATGGATCACTTGGGGATCTTTTAAAAATGTGGTAGGAAGGTCTAGAGTAGGACCCAGAATGCTTCACTTCTAACAATCTCCTAGGTAATGCTGCTGGTTTCCTGCCCCGTTGAGTAGTTGAGTAGCAGTGTTCTGAGCTGCACTGCCCAGTTTGGTAGCCTTAGTGATTAGTGGCTATTTAAAGTTAAAGTGATAAAAATTAAATAAAATTTAAAAGACACTTTCATGGCTACACTAGCCACACTTTAACTGCTCTGTAGCCCCATGTGGCTAGTGTTTACTCTGTAAAATAGCACAAATATAAGACATTTCCATCATTGCAGAAAGTTCTATTGCACAGCACTATTTTCTAGAGCATGATTTTCAAACTGTTTTCTACAGACTACCTATTAAATCAGAATCTGTAGGAATAGAGGACTGGAAATTTGCATTTTGAACAAATGCCTCAGGGTATTTTTATGCTTGCTGAAGTTAGAGGAACACTTCTGCCGGGATCCAAAATCTAATGTCCAGAGGTAAGTGTAATGTGGGAATAGGCAAATGTCAGAGACAGACAGGGACCCATCAGCTTAACTACCTTGCTTGCCAGCCATGAAAGTCATACCTCGTTGTCCTCAGGTGCAGCTTGTGGAGCTGACCTCTGACACCAGAGCTTCATAGCATGGAAGAGGTACAAGCCCTTAAGCCAGTGGCATTCTAAAGATATGTGGCTGGTCCTAGGTGTATTCTCTGGTCCCACATGCCTTCTGGTTTCTACATGCTAATAGAGGTGAGAGCCAGGGCCTGCATTCAGTTTCAGGGATGAATCTCAATCCCAGAAGGAGCAATCAAGAAATAACTGTCTTCTTCTTCACACTATTTGGATCTCCCTCTCCTTCCCAGGAGCATATTTTGGCAAGATCCTATTTTTTTTTTTTTTGATACTGGGGATTAAACCCCAGGGCTCAACAACTGAGCCACATCCCAAGCCCTATTTTGTATTTTATTTAGAGACAGGGTCTCACTGAGTTTCTTAGTGTGCCTCGCTTTTGCTGAGGCTGGCTTTGAACTTGCTATCCTCCTGYCTCAGCCTCCTGAACCACTGGGCTCACAGGTGTGCACCACTGTGTCCAGCAAGATCCTATTATTTTTTGATCATCTTTCAGATATAAAAAATGAGTTCTATTGAGGGGATTAAAAAACTCAAGTTCAATCTTAAATTTTTTTTGTTTGTTTCTTCTGCGTCCCTTACCCTCCAACTCATCAGTGTGTGGGGGGGTCTCCATATAATATTTCATTTTCTTCCATCCACCTCCTTTCTTCTGGTTCTGAAGGTTCTGACAGTCAAGGAAAGTAGCATAGCTGGCTTGAATCAGTCACCTGACCTCAGACCCCGTTTACCATATACCCAGATGATTTTCATAGAGCTGCTTTGTGGGTTTTTGGGAGAACCTCTGCTGGGACTGCATGTACTGCACTATGCTTGAGCTGACCTCTAGTTCCCACTCAGTGCCTGCCCTCTAGATGCACACCCTTAAGATTCCCCGGCTCCAGCTGGCAGCCCCCTTGGCCAAAGAAGGCTTGAGTCTAATTTCTAATTGAGACTGCCACTTTGTTAAATAGGTAACTGGTTATATGCATGGTCCATCAAAGTACAAGTGTCACCAGCTCGCAGACTACCCACAAGATGCAGTGGATCAGTTAAGATCACACATTGATAAAGAATAGGATGGGGGTGCTGGGGTTGTGGCTCAGTGGTCAAGTGCTTGCCTAGCACATGGGAGGCCCTGGGTTCAATCCTCAGCACCACATAAAAATAAATAAAGGTATTGTGTCCATCTACAACTAAAAAATAAATATTAAAAAAAAAGAAGAGGCAAGTTGAAAACGACCCATAAACATTTTCCCCAACATCCATCTGGGTGCATAAATGAAGTGGAAGACTTTGGTTGCTGACTTATTTTGACTGGCTTGGAATTGCTTTATCTAKGGGGATAAGTGTTCTCTCAAGAGGAAGCTCTGCCACAGTTGGTACCTCTGAGGGTTGCATATGTAGCAGGTTTAATGAGTGCTTTCTATGTAATAGGAGATTAAATATCACTCTTTCTTCTCTAAGTTCAGAACCATCTGAGAGACAGACATGGAGTCAAATGTGGTAAGTCAGAAGATCAATTTGGTTAATGGATTGGTGGATTTAGCTGAGTTGTGCAGTCTTCTTATAGGAGACTCCTTCGTCATACACACCCATTTTCTAGCTAGTCAGGGACACAACTGGCCAGATACCTGCTGGCCCTCCTGCGAGGGGTAGTAGAACAGGACATGGTAGAGAATTTTCTTCCTGTGGACAGTCGCATCCAAATGAAACAAACTAGAGCAAGCATATCCCACAAGCTTGGTTTCTTCTGCTAAACTTACAGGCTGGGGTGGGGAGGTGTGAGGGAAGGAAGAGAGAGAGGACAGGAGTGTTATTCTGGCTAAAGTCCTTCCATGTGAGCACATGGTTGTGGGCATGCAGAACAACTACTTTGCATACATCTGCATATATTAGCATATCCCATTTTTGTAACACTGGTATCACTAGCCCATTTTATAGAAAACCAAGGCTGAGATGATATTCCACATGCGTGGTAAATCAGGGTCTGAACCAACTCTGATTTTAAGTCCATGTTCTTTCACTACCTTGTATCTTGCACCTCATTTGGAGTGCTGGGAAGGGAGGGCTTCTGTTTTTCTTCTGAAACCCTCTTATGGGCTCTTTTATATCCTGGGACACTTGGTCAACTTGAACCTTGTAACTTGAGTTCCTTAAAGCACCTGAGCCCACAAAATCTTCAGCGAGTCTGTGGCAGATCTGAAGAGGCCCATGATGGGAAGGCTGGGAGAACTCCCTGTGGAGTTGGGCTTTGGTTTCCCATTCAGGACCTATGTCTGCTTGCCATGCTGTCCTCACAAGGCCAAAGAGGCTGCCATGGAGATCTCACCAGGCCTCATATCAGGGTGATTGGTAGTTGCTTTAGCTCAGTCCTTGGTCAGGTCTGCAGGAATAATCAATGAGATACTGGGCCAGCCTTTAATTATAATTCTCTGTGGTTACAAAGATGCATGTAGTCTCTAGCTGGTTAGTCTATTCTGTTGGGCTCTGATTCCTTCCCTAAACCTGGGTTTCTTATTGATCTTATAAGCCTTTCTGACACTCTGCACGTGGTTATGCGCTTGCTTTTCAGTCTCTGCAGGTGGTTGAACTACTGTACATCCCCATTTTCCTCCTCTTTCCCTTTACTTTTTCTCTTTYCGTCTCTCTCCTTACTCCCTCATCTTTCTTTTCTACCTGTTTTCCTCTCTTTTTCTTTCTCTCCCTCTTTGCTTCCCATTAGCCTTGATAGGACTATCTGCAAAGGAAGAATCTTTGCAACAGGATTATCAGATTCCAAAATGTAATCTAGTAGAAGGCAGCACTGTAGGAACATTCTGCAAGGAGCTAAGGGACTGTAAAGCATTCCTTGATATCACAGAAATCTCTTGAGGATGCTGGGCAAAAGGACAGCTGCTACAGAGGTGAAGGTGGGCTTCAACCCCCTTCCTCTAGCAAGAGGGAAGGTAACAAAGGGAGAGGGGAAGGGTTTTATGCCTCATTTTATTCTCTTGACAGTTTGCCTAGTCAGTTCTGCCTGTATTATTATCACCTCTAAGAACATTTTTTTCTACCATTTAATCCATCAGTCTTTTATTAAAGCTTAGATAAAAGTTTTTAAAAAAATCCCTTCAACACCCAGCCACCAGAGGGAAATTTCAGAGAATGAGATGATCAGATTTCCAAGTTTATTGAAAAACCTATAGATAACTGCATGACTGCTCATGCTGTTTTATAAAACAAGTGCAGCTAGGTGAGCCATTTAATAATGTGGGAACTGTCGGCTGTGTGGGTAGTGGAGAGGAGAGCACCCCTCCGGCAGGTGCTGGCTCTGGCAGCAATGAACACTGCGGCACACTGCACTGCAGCACAGGGTCACCCTGCAGGCTGAGCCACACTGCTTCTTAGGAACCATCCACAGCACGGCCTRTTATCTGGCAGACAGAGTGCCCAGGTCTTTCCAAGCACAGTAGAACCCAAACATTTCCCCTCTATGTCAACCACACTCTGGGGCTTTTGAAAGTGTTTAATCCTTACCACAATCCTGAGATAGACATCATTGCCTCTGTTTGCCAGATGGAAAAATTGGAGGCTGCAGGAGGGAAGGAACCTATGTAAAATTATAGAATGGAGTGGTAGAGCCAGGGAAATAACCCAGGTTTTCCCATTCCTGTGCCTTTTTTGTTTTACCCTGTTACCAAAAACAGTCTATAGACCATATAGGGAGTGTTAAAGAAACCGTCCTTTGGCATGCAGGGTAAGTATATTAGAGCTGGTGGGTGGGTAGAGATAGGGGAGTAAAGGTAGTAGAACTCTGAARTTATAGATAATACTCTGAAATCAGGATTTATGCTTTCAGATCCCACTATTCAATATGTTAATTTCTCTGTGCCTCTTTATAAAATGAGGACTGATAATAGTATCTGCATCATAGGTTTGTGGTAAAGGTTAAAAGAGATAATAAAGTATGTAATACTGTGTCTAGCATATGATAGGTTGGATAAATGATGTAGCCTTAGGCTCAATTTTAGAATCAAAGGAAATCTGAAAAAGGGCCTCATGCAGGGTCTGCTTGTAGAGGTCATCAGGTATTTTCAATTCCTTTCTGCCATCTTATAAGTATACTTTGCTTGCCTGCCCTGCTTACTATGGTCTGGGATGCCTGCAGTTACTTCATCAGAAGGGCTGCTATTCAGTGTTGACTCCTGATTGCCAATGTGCCCTTTGTGGTCCTGCCACAACTCATAGTATCACTTTGGGTGACTTCAGACTTGCTTGGCTGGGCCTCAGTTTCCTTAGTTATAAGGGGATATAGACAGAACTAGGTTTGAAGAAGCAGGGTGTGTGAATTTCTACATCAGAATTACCTGGATGGATTGTTGAAAATTCTGATTCATGGGCCTTGCCTATAGTTGACCAAAATCAGAATCTGTAGCAGTGCTTGTTATGGTTCAAATATGGTTTGTTCCCTCTGAAACTCATATTGGAATTTAATCTCATTGTGAGGTATTAAAAGGTTGGAAACTTAATCTGACTATGGTATGCAGAGGTAGGGCCTTTGGGAGATAATTAGAATTATATAAAGTCATGGGGTGGGGAGGGCTATGACTAAATATAAGGAGGGAGAAAGACTAGAAGACACAGACATACTCACATACTCACCCCACATTTGCACTCTGTCTTTTACAATGTAACGTCCTGAGGCATTAGAAGACAGTCACCAGATATGGCCCCTCAACCCTGGACCTGAACCAGAAGCCAAAATAAACCTTTTCTTTATAACTTACTCAATTTGTGGGATTGTGTTATTAGGAATAGAAAATGGTCTAATACAGTGCACTAGGATGTACATTTGTAAAAAGCACCCTCCCCATGATTCATGCCCTGGCCCAACTCTCAGAGAATCTGGTATAATTGGCCATTAATAAATAATGAAAGCAAATTAAATAATAAAAGCAAATTAAATAATAAGTCAATTAAGAAAATTGATTTAGTTCTTAACTTTGKTTTTAAGATTTTCCTGTTTATTTATTTATTTTTGTAGCAGTTTTGCTACATGTGTGTAACTGTGGTTCTATGTATTTATTCTGTTTAGGGTTCATAACACTTCTAGAATATATGGTTTGTGGTCTTTTGCCAGGTTTGGAAAATTCTTGGTCATTATCTCTGTAAAAGTTATTTCTGCTCCATTTGCTCTTTCCTCTGTAGGACCCCAATTACATGTGTGTTGGACCTGTTCACCATGTTCCATTAGGTCTTGTAYACTCCCCTTTCATTCCCCTAATACTTTCCATTTTGGTCCTCCATTCTTTCAGTCTAAATATTCTCTATTACATATTTTTGAATTCCCTAATCTTTTCTTCAGCTTTGCCYACCCACCTGTTGAGTTCCTAGCACCTGTTGAGTTAATTATTATATATTTCAGAACCGAACTTTCATTTGATTTTTAAAAATGGACTTTAATTCTTTGTTAAAATTCAATTTTTAGAAATGTTGATTACACTGATCTTGTGTTATGATTTCAGTATCAGGATCTCTTTGTATTTCTGTGTTTATTATCTTCTTGGTTTCTGGCCTTTTCCCAGTATGCTTTGTAATTTTTTTATTTAAATTTTTTTTGTTGTTTTATATTATGTCAGTTGTATGTGAAAATTTGGAGAGAGAATTTGAGGYTCTGGATAGTGCATTTTTTTCTCCTGAGAAGATCTGCTGTTGCTTTTGGAAGTTAGGGTCAGGGCAGATTGTCATAATCCCATCTGGGATGGAGCAGATGGGAAGCCAGGCTTTTGTTTTCATAAATCCTGGTCTGTTCCTGATTTGTCCTCCTTTCTAGGACTCAGTAGTTCTTTCTGAAAGTTTGGGGTGTATACCAAGTGCCTCCTTCTTGGTGAGCCCTAAACTCTTATTTTTGCTCCCCCAGTGTAGGTAGGTGGGACTATCGAAACTCAGCTTCCTAGCTGCTTGACTGGTGGTTTCTATTTCATTTCTTCTCTTGGCTTCTTCACTGATCAAAAATACAACTTCTTAGCTTTTAGTTTTTTTCTTGAGCATCAGCAAATGTTTCAAGGCAAAAAGCTATGCCAAACATTAGGCTCATTTCTGTGCCTCCATTCTCTTTGAGATCTTGGTGCCTTTAGATCTCACCACATGTGATAGCTCTCTGATGCTTTCAAATGGAATTTGTTTTTTWAAAAATATTATTTTGTTTAGCATTTCTGTTTGTTCTTGGTAGAAGAATTGATCTCAGTAAATTAGTCTGTCACAGGCAGAAATGGAATTTCCTGATATTGTTTTTTTAATCTCTTCAAGTGATTTTAAAATGAGATGTACTGGACGAAATCAGCTCCGTCCCACATCATAAAAAGGTCTCATCACCTAAGACCCATGTTTAATAATGTTGGTTTCCTGGTCCTACTTCAGATACACTGAACCACAATTTTATAAAAAAAGACTTGTGGGGCTGTGGCTGTGGCTCAGTGGTGGAGCACCTGCCTTGCACATGTGATGTACTGGGTTCAAACTACATAAAAATAAATAAATAAAGATATTGTATCCATCTACAACTAAAAAGTTATTTTAAAAAAAACTTGTAATTTGTAGTTCTAGCAAGTGCTTCTAACAAAGGCACACTTGGGAAGCACTGAGCAAATGGTTTATCAGGGTTCTCCTTGCTCTAGTTGCCTATGGATATTCYAGTACCCCAGTGAGTCCCCTTACCCAAGTGACCCTGCATATATTGGCAGGAAAGAGTCTGATTGTTCTGTGTGCAGGGAAGGAAGCATGATACTTGTACCAATATCTCTAGATTTATTTTGTATTCTGCAACTCCATGAGAGGTAGCTCCTTTGCTGAATTATTTTTAATTTYGTCTATAGACATTTTAATCAGAGATGAAAAATGGTTGGTCTTTTGCCAAGAGTTCAGTCTAAGAGGAAGTTATTTGCCTTTTAGAGATACATTAATTTGCACTGACTTTTGTGTGGAAGGCAGAAGCTTGTAATAGAAAAGAACCTGAAATTTAGAGATCAAGGACGACTCTAGGATTCTTTGGTAGCCCAGGAGTTGGAGGAATTACATGCCACCTCTCTTCCTCCTTCCACTAATAGAAGTTTTGTTTTTGAGCTTCAATATATATCTGCTTGTCATCCTCCAACTTAGGCTCCATCTCATCTACCAGTGGTATAGGACTAGAGTTCAGTTCAGGATGTTACCCTACCCAAGTCCTCTTCCTACTCCCTATCCCAGAGTCAGTAGTCCCTCTTATGTACCTTTCCTCTGCTACTTCCTGCCACAGCTGTCCCTAGGATAGTTTCTCAGCACAGGTGCTCAGACCCGAGGGCAAATCGAGCCACCTAGCAAGATGGTTTCCCTTAGTTCTCTCTGACTTCTGAGGACGCATTCCACTTTGGAGTTCTTTGATTGTCTAGATTTATGGGCTTCTCAGGAAGTGCTACACAAATCAATAAGAAAATAATAAAATATGCCCAATTAAAAAAGGGCAAAGGACTTGAATAGATAATTCATGAAAGAAGACATACAAGTAGGCATAAATATATGAGAAATATTTCAAGCTTCATCAAAGAAATGCAAATTCAAACCAGGTGAGTGGTAAAAAAATAATCAGAACAATAATGTTGAGTTTTGACTATGGAACAGGGAGATAGACACTCATATTCTGTTGTATGAATATAAATTTTGGCTTTTTGGAGAAAAAAAATACCAAAATGCAACAAAAATTTATTGAAACTTTCCATGACCTTTGACCCTGTAATTCTATTTTCAGGAATTTATCCCAATGAAATAATATGAGCTATTTGCAGAGTTTTACACAAAGATGTTCAGCATAGGACTGTTTTAATAGAGATAACTGCTGCTCTCTAATAAAATGCAGT